GTTCGAGCCCCCACATTACAGGTGAAGACATACGTCACAGGAAAGGGTTGTGCTACAGGTATTCAGTGATGGGAGGGGGTGATCTAGGGACATACACGCTATAGGAAGAGGAGGGACAGCCGGTTTGGCCTGGCCCTGGCCCAACTGATAGAGACCATTCTCAGTAGGATGCGAACTCCGCCCACAGGAGCCTGTCCATTGTCCCCAGCGGCAGGGAGCAGGCCCCCGCCCCCACCCCCTGTGGTGGGATGAGATAGCAGTCTGGCAGCAAGGATCTGACCTCCCCCCACAGGGGTCTTTTCCTTCTTATGCATTGTTTGTATTTTTATTTGTATACTATTATGCTTTTATCCTTACCACCTTAGTACAATTTTGTTATTGTTTTCTGTTGGGTCTCCCAGTTGTGAAGCACCGGAGGAATGGGTGTATGATGAGAGTAACTGATACGAGGGGTTACAGGGAATGCAGGGTGAAGGGTGGATGATAGGAAGGGAAAGATGGGAGTGGGGAGGGAGCACTAGAACAGATGGTGATCGCATAAATCATCTTAATGTAACTTAACCATGGGGGACGGTGCTCTAAAATGATGTGGGGTGGTTGTATAATTCTCCTTGATATGATTGGATGATTGAACTAACATGATGTGTGAATCACTTGCCAATAAAACTGTTGGGAGAGAGAGGGGGGGAGGGGGGGAAACCATAGCCCTCATTACATTTCAACCTACCGAAAACCTAAATCAGTGGTTCAACCTTCCTCATGCCGCAACCCTTTAATACAGTTCCTCATGTACAGAGTTACAGTCTTGGAAACCCAGAGGGGCAGTTCTACCCTGGAAACCCAGAGGGGCAGTTCTACCCTGGTCTATAGGGTCCGAGTCGGTGACCCCCCCCCCAACCATAAAATTATTTTCATTGCTATTTCCTAACTGTAATTTTGCTACTGTTATGATTTAGGTGACCCCTGTGAAGGGGTCGTTTGACCCCCAAAGGGGTCGTGACCCACAGGTTGAGAACCACTGACCTAACTCCTCCCCAAGTGGGCCGATAAATCATGATTTACTGATAAACGGTGACACACAGCAAAAGGATTTCATGGTACTCTACAATCCACCGCCATGGCATGGGGCAAATGTGCTCTGAAAAAGTCTCTTTCAAAACGTCACAGAGCGAAGATGTCTCTTTGAAGACTAAGGTGCACCTGACCCAAGGCCTGGAAGCTGCAGGCACTTCAGATGCATAAGGAAGCCAAGCCGGGAACGGGTCGGGAAGACCCAAGAACAACGGACGCCTTTCATTACGGTGCTGACAAATATGAACTTTACCACGGACTTCCAGGAGAGCGGGTAAGTCCATATCAGGAGGCTGCTCCTTCGACGTGATGATGGTCAGACATCCTCTCACATCCTGTGGATATGTTATCAGGAGGGACTAGGCGCTGCAGACGAGCATCAGGCTCGGTAGAGAGAGACCCTGGACCAGGTGGATGGCCACAGCGGCTGCAGCAATAGGCTCAAGCGAAGGAGCCCTTGTGAGGATGTCGCAGGACCCAACAGCTTTTCGTTCTGTTGCTCGTAGTCACCACGAGTCTGGAACAGATGCTATGGCACCTGATGACAGCAACCGACCTCGAACATCTCATTCTTCAGGTTCCTCTCTCCATAATATGGTCCGCCCAACCACAAGGGGAGCAGTTCAAAACCACCAGCCGCTCCGAGGGAGAAAGAGGAGGCTTTCTCCTGGAAAGAGTTATAGTCTCGGAAACCCACAGTGGCAGTTCGACCCTATCCTTCGGAGTGGTTACGAATGGACCTCCATTTGATGCCAGGGATTATTATTTTTTCATTCCAGTAGGCCAGAAGCCCTGATAGGGTAGTGAGTTACTTGTAGTGGCTTACTCATGTGTTGGGCTGCTAACTGCCAGGTCAGCAGTTCAAGCCCACGGGTGGCTCTGTGAGGGGAAAGGTGAGGCTTTCCGTCCCCCTAAAGATTGACAGCCTCAGAACCCCCCCAGGGACAGTCCTACCCTGTCCTACAGGGTGGCCATGAGTCAGAATGGACTCAATGACAGTTTGGTTTGGTTTCTTTCTGGAAGGCCACACGTGGTAGGGAAGTTCCAGCCCCTCCCCCTTCCCTTTCTCTATCTGTACTCATATCAGGGGCATAGTGGTTAAACTTGGCTGCTAACCAAACCGTTGGTGGGCTCGAACCCCACCAAGCACCTCTGAGCAGTTCTACTGTGTCACATATCACAATGAGCAACATCATCAGCACGCAAATAAATAAAACCCAGACTGGCTGTCATAGAGTTTATGCTGACTCATAGCGACCCTATAGGGCAGGGTAGAACTGCCTCAGTGATTTTCCCAGATGGACTTCCAAGGAGCGACAGGTGGTTTCGAACTGCTGACCTTTAGTCTCATATCATCTGAACAGCACCCAGCAGGCCTTCTAGGCCTGCTTCCTCATCAAAGTCCTCCTTCCTGAATCCCACCCTTTCCCCCATCACTGTCCCAAGATCCACCCCCTCACATCCCACTCCCCTGGGACCGGGCACTGAATAGCGTCCAACAGAGACGCTCAGACAAGTTCTGCTTCCGGGCGGCGGGCGCTGGACACTGCATCCCACACACCGTGGGAGGCCTGAACACTGAACTGCCAGGGCAGCCACCTCGGGCTCTGGGCTCTGGGCTCTGGGCACAAGGCCAGGGAGCCCTGGATGTGCTGGTGGAGGTGGATGCTGTCCGGGTCTTGGATTCGCTCGCTCTCCCAGGGCCACAGGTGCTGACTAGCACTGCCCTTGGGCTGGCGGTAGGACCGGAGCACGCAGGCACACGTTGGCACTCCGGGCGCGCGCCTGGCGAAGTGTCCAACTCAAGCCTGGGGTGCAGGGCCCAGTGCCTAGAACACGTGGCCGGCAGGAGGCAGGCGCTCCACCTTGGGGTTTAGCCCAGCAAAGAAGGCCTAGCTCAGAGGCACCTGAGTCACGTGAGCTCCGCGCGGTGTGCAGGGCTGCATGTGCCTGCTAGTCTGCGTGCGCTGTGCTCACCTCAAAGTGCGTGTTCCAGGGCCACTGTGCAGCGCAGCCAGTAGGGACTGAGGCCCGCCTAAAATTGGGGGCCGTTTTCCCTCGTCCTCTGGTTATGGTGGGCGAGGGCCACCATCTTTAACTTCTAAGATCAGAAGGTCCCACCCTTTGCACTAGACTTGCGCCGCCCCCCCCCACCGCATTGATCAGCTCTGCATTGAGATTTTAAATCACCTGAATCTTTCGTCTCCTTGACCTGTAAGTCAAGGGCAGTTCAAAGAAGAGCTTGGATGGCTAGAGTCTCTCTCTCGCTCCTTCAAAGTGGGACATTACGATTAAAGAAAAAGAAAAGCAACATTCATAGCATTTACCTGTGTGGCTCACATAATATTATGCCATGATCTCCAATCGACAGAACAGGAAACCGAGTCACGACCTACCCGTAGGAGCAGCTAGTCATTGCTGCTCCTGGAACTCTTCAGAATCCGTGTTAACCGTAGCACTCTGTTGGCGTCTGCTCTCCAGCACCCACACCCCCTAAATCCAAGCCCTTCCCACCTCCACGCCCCCAACTTAAAAATCTTTATCTTTATTCATTTTCTTGTTATTCAATCCTTGCAGCCCCAAACCTCTATTGTTTCCCTACCAGTCATCAAATCAAGCCCATAGGCTCCCATGTTCGAATCTTTGAAATCCTAGCTCTACCTGCTGCCGGTGCTGAATCTCTTTCTGGCTTCTCTGGACCGGCCTCCGCGGCTCAGGTTACACCACCCTCACGGACACGCCCCCCTCAGGTTACACCACCCTCACGGACACGCCCCCTCAGGTTACACCACCCTCACGGACACGGCCCCTTTGTTTCTAACTGGGCTCCTGAGGGGCTGACCCCTCCCAGTGATCTGCATATCCTAGGCTGGCTTCTAAATTCTGCATTGGACAAATCCGCTGCCCAAGACCTCTTTAAGGTGTTGAAGAGGGGCGTCAACCTTGAGGACTACGGTGCACCTGATCCAAAGCCATTGTATTTTCAATTGCTTCGCCTGTGAAAGTTAGGCATTGAGTATGGAAGACTGTGGAAGAATCGATGCGTTTGAATTATGGTACTGGCACGACATTTTGAAAGTTCTATGGACTGTTGGAAGAACAAACATAGCTGTCTCGGAAGATGTGCATCCAGAGCGCTCCTTAGAAGCGACGATGGTAAGACGTCGTCACACATAATTTGGACAGGTCGTCAGGAGAGCCCAGACCCTGGAGAAGGACGTCATGCTTGGTGAAGTGGAGGAGCAGCGAAGCAGAGGAAGGCCCTGGACAGGATGGATTGACCGACACCGTGGCTGCAACATAACCTTCGTGAGGATGGCTCAGGACCGGCCGATGTTTTGTCCTGTTGTGCATAGGCACAGCGATGGCAGCCAGCAGTAACAACAAATTGGTTTAGGCCACACCCATACCTAAGCCCCTCCCCTTACATAAAACTTTCTTCCCACCCATTTTCCCTGGCCTCACGCCTTCCAGGAATCTTCGTTCATATCAAGAACCTGTTTCTTTCTTCTCAGTCCTGAGCCTAGTTCGGCCCCAACCTCCTCGCGGAGGCTCCTACCTCCATTTATTCCCCAACCCCCTGCAGCCTATCTCCAAGCCCCACCCCTGGATCCCTAACGACCACGCCCTCATTATACACCACGCCCCCTTCCGTGTTTTCCACGCCCCTCGTTACCATCCAAGCTCTGCCTCGGGCCAAAGCCACGCCCCTACAACGGAGACGCCTGCGTATTGCCCCGCCCACTGCCCGCCTTCAGGATCCGCCCCCCTCTGGCCCCGCCTCCAGACCCGCGCTGCAGTGCCCTCCCCTGCGCGGCCCC